ATTTGTCTCCCCCTCACCTCCCTACCTGTCCCCCTCCCCCATCCCTATCCTTCCCACTAAGCCTCCCAGGGGGTTGGTGCATACAGCTCCCACAGAGCTGTGAGAAGATGGATAAGAGCTAGAGAGGACGTGCCACCACAGTCCCCTTCCCCTTCCTTGCCCCCTAGGCGTGGAAGGACAAACCCTGATCTCAAAGGCTGACTTTCAGAAGATCTAGATTGCCGTGAGAGAGCTACTCTACCACAGAGGAAAGCAGACTCAGAAGTAGGTTGTCTATGAGTGCTTAGCCCTAGTTCCCCAGGAACTTGTGTTGTGTGATGGACGAGGGGGTGGCTTCCTTTCTGGCTGCCCCGTTTCCGGCTGGGGGGCCCTCTGCATCTGACCCCTATCCGACCCACAGGCAGGGAACCAGCTATTAGAGGCCAGCAAGGCCAACCCAGGGTCAGACAGTCCAGAGTCCCTAACTGGAGCTCTGCTTAGCCAGGCTCGATGAACTGCTGCTGCCACCCTACCGGCCGCCCACTAGGCTCCCAGATAGCCATCTATTAGAGCTGGCTTTCCTGACTTCTTGTTCCCATGGTGGGTCCTGCTAAATTTTAGCCAGTCTTTTTGGAATTAGTTTTGCTGGTCACATCTAGTGAATCCCCCACAGCCAGTATAGGATTTCCCCTCACACTGTGGTTTCAGTCCCTGGAAAGCCTTCTTTCTAGTCCCTGACTTGATATGAAACCAGTGGCTTCCAGGTATATGTGCTCCCTCCCTGTCGTTGTTCCGGTGTTCTAAATACTTAGTCACAGTAGTCAATAATCCCGAAAGTCTGTCCTTGGAGTCCTTTCTCTCAAATCACAGTCTGGAGTACACGTAGCTGCTCTTTCTTCTTGGATAGTGTTCACACCTGAAAATATGTTTTGGCCAGAACCTGAAGCCAATCACCTGGCTCGGTGCCACAGGCCTGCTGATGGTGGCCTTTGGAGAACGTCTGAGGAAAGCGGCAATGTTTACAGTTTGTTGCAATTTCAGCCATGGGGTACAGAATGAAAAATCAGGAACCCATAGTCTGGTGACAAGTGGAGTGTATACCTGGTTCTGGCATCCTTTGGGTGGTTTTACTGGAATATTGGAGCCCAGGTGATGCTGTGCAACCCCATCTGTGGCACTGGCTGTGCTCTGACAATGTGGTGAGTCTTTTGTGATCAAACAAAATTCACTGCTTTGGAGGGCAGTACCTGGAGTATAAGAAGTGGGTGCCCACAAGTCTGCCTATGATAAAAGGGGTCAAGGTGGAGCTATGACATGCCCATGCTGGGGCGGGGGTGGGGCCTCCCATTCCATGCAGCCTGTGACAAAACGGCCTCCGGTTGGCCACTCTACAGAATAAATTTTCTTAATCATTTTATGTTACCATTTACTCTTTGGGAGTATAACTCAGGAACAAATGGTCAGAGGGCCTTAGGACCAAAGGAGCTCCTATGCTCAGCCCACCTTCCGGGAGCGATCTGTTCTCCGCGGAATCAGCAGAGGGAGTGGGTTAGAGACGGACGCGGAGCAAACAGCAGCGAGAGTCAGCAGCGCGCCCCAGAGGGCCCGGGGCGAGCCCAGGCCGCAGGCCATCCTTGAGGCCAAAAGTCCGTGCAGCACGCACTCTGGAGAGGTGGACTCGCTGCTCTGAGTAAGGCTTCTTCTGCAGGAAAGGTTATGTGGGCACCAGTGCTTTAGCTTTAGAAATACATAGAAATCTTTAACTGAAAAAAACAGCATAGCGTTAACCTCCTAATTTCTGGCCTTAGTGTATGAACAGCTACACAGTTTTAAAGATGTTTCCTTCTAGGGCACTGTGGCTCTTTATACACTTAATTGGATTTTAATATCTATTTATAAATAGCAGTATAAATTCAAAGGGGAGTCCCATCATTTATTTGGCAGAAAGGAAACACTGACACCCCAAGGATTTGGCTGAGTGGCTTTGTATTACCTAGGCCAGGGAGCCCATGGGCCCCTGCCCTTCTCCCAAGACAGGGCTGTTATCAGTGCTAGGCATGTCAAAGACATGTCATTTGTCCTTTATCCAAGCAGTGCTTACTCAACTCCTGCTCTGTGCAGACATTGTTAAGTGCTGAGAAATACTCTTTAATTTGGGATTTTATTCTTCCTTTACCATAGCATATAGTTTTGTGTTTTGATTTAAATCACAAACCATTGATTTCTATGTTCTGTAGAATGGAGTCAATTCCAACTACCACCTCACAGGGGGTGTTGTGAAGACTTAGAAGAATGTCGAACGTTTTTAATACTTAGACGAGTGATGACACAAATGGAATCTATACTGTGTAAGAGTTACATGAAAATGGACATTCAGGCAACTGTATTAGACATGAAAATGTGTGTTCAAAAGAGCATTGTACCAACTCAAAACAGTATTAATTTATAGACTTCGTGGCCTAATTAATTTTTCATTATTACATATACCAAAGGGGAAAAAAAAGGACTGCCCTTCCACAGTCAAGGAGGAGCTCACTGCAAAGGCGGGCTGTGTATGCTCAGAGGACACCTTCCCCTCAGTGCTAGAGCCTATTCTCCCCCAGGGATGACGTCTTCCACTGGCGCCAGGGTGACTCGATGCTCATGGGCAGTTCATCAGACGACATCCATGTTTGAGGCAATTTCTTCATCAGATGGCATTGCGAATGTCTGTCTGTGGATGCCTGGTGTCCTCCGCAGAATTGTGCCCTGTGTGATGAGGTTTGCATAGCCTTCTTGGTGGGAGAAGGCGTAGCTGGAGCGCCGGGCGCGCGGCGCCACCATGATCTCCTCGATCGGGACCTCTTTCTCCTCCTCCTCCTCCTCCTTCTCCTCCTCCTCTTTTTCCTGCTGAGCAAAGGGGCAACAGGGTCATCAGGCTCCCCCGCTGCGTTGACTGCTCTCAGGTCACCTGCTCCCAGTGGCCCCCATACATTGGCCAGGCCCTTCCCTACCCAAGTTGACCCTGTGACCTGACTCTGGGTCAGCTAGGAGGTGACGGAAGTGCCCTCTTATGGCAAAGGCAGGAGAAGTTAACCATGGGGCAGCCATGTCTCCAGCCTGTGTGGCAGAATGTGGCAGGTCTGTGGCCATATCTTTGTCCACTATTCCAGTCAATTCTGCAGCCCATCCTAGCTGCAACTGGTCCTTCTAGGTTTCTGTTACCTGGGCCAGTAAGTCTCCCACCCCCCTTTTTCCACTGTGGTAAAATAGACATTATCCCATTTTAACCATTTTTAAGAGTATAGCTCAGTGGCATTAAGTACTTTCATTCACACTGTTATGTAACCATCACCTCCCATCCAGCTCCAGAACTTCACAAACTGACATTGTCCCCATTAAATACTAACTCCCCCAGCCTCTGTCTCCCACTATCTACTTTCTGTTTCTATGAATCTGACTCCTCTAGTGGCCTCCTCCTATGAGTGGAATCACACAATATTGTCCTTTTGTGACTGGTTTATGTCACTGAGCATAATGTCCTCAAGGTTCATCCACCTCGTAGCAGGAGACAGAATTTCCTTCTTTTTAAAGGCTGAATAATATTCCATTATGTGGGTAAACCATACACTGTGTTTATCTATTTATCTATTGATGGACAGGCACACAGTGGTGTTTCTAAGCTCCTCCTTTTGCCTAAACCTTTTCCAAGTCATTTCTGTCATCTCAACCCCCAAGTCCTAGATAATTCATGGTGGAAGTCTAACATTGCCAGCACTGGATCCAGGCTGGCTGCCTCCATCCCACGAAGTATGGTTTTTTCCCTGGGGTCCTGGGGCCTGTTACTTGCCCCCCCTCCCCCGAGGGCATGAGGTGTGCATCTGGGTCTCCAACCCCTTACACCCAGCTCTGCATCTCTTTCGAGTTCCTGCTTCCAGCATTGTGCAGTGGGGACCCCAGCCACCCTCACCTTGGGACGTGGCTGCTTGAGGGCTTGGTAAATGATACGCAAGGCCAGTACGGGCAAGGTGTTCAATGACACATTCAGCAGGACCACCAGCAGGACGGTGGGGTGGGACATCACATTTCTGTCAACATCTAGAGGAGACAGGGAAGGGTTATGGCCTGGCCAAGGGCAGAGCCTCCCCAGAGCCTGCTCTGGGCCCCCTCTTCCCGACACCCCACCTCCTTCCTCGCCCTTCACCCCCAAGATGCCTTTGTGCAAATTCCCTTAAGTCACAAGTCCCACCCATCTCCAGGGCTGGCTGCCCTGTCCCCTGCTGGGGGGCTCACACAGAAAAGGGAAGGTCTTGGGGGAGATTGTGAAGAGCCAGAAGCTCTGACTGGTCCAAGTTACGGCCGTGTAGAAGCAGAGGCTGAAGAAAATGGACAGCACAGTCAGGACCGTCCAGTACTTGATGATGAGGATGACCTGAATAGGAAAGAGGGTTAAGCCAGTGGGGCTAGGACTCTAGGCAAGGCTCTGTGGAGGAGGCTGAAGGGTGGCACCTGCTAAGGCCTCTCAGGCAGGGTCACCAGGTGATGAGACATCCTTGGCTGGTGTCCATGGTCCCACCAGGGGTAGGACAGGCAGCAGCCCTGCCTACCTCCATGGTCCCTGCCTACCTCCATGGTGACAGTCAGCAGGCCCGACAGGGACATGACTGTGGACAAAGACTGATAGTCACTGAGGGGCCCAATAATGTCATAGCTGATCCATAGGGTCATGAAGAAGTTGACCAGAGAGGCGCTTGTGCCATGGACAATGGCTTGGAAGAAGACCCAGTAGTTGAAGAACTCATCCTTTTGGCCAGCAATGTACAGCTTGGGGAGTTCCAGGCTCTGCTTGGCGCTCACATCCTGGGGTGGGGGTAGGGGTGAAGGAATTCCGGAGGTTGGTTTTGCAGCAACATGCATGCTCAGTGTGCCTGAACCATGCACGTCAAAATGGTGAATTTTGTTACTGGTGTTTTAGCACAGTTTAAAAACTTAAAAAAAAAAAGAAAATGCAAAGTTCTGTTCCTCAGGTCACACCAGGCATGCCACAAGTGCTTTTCATTAACCATCTGTGGCTGGTGGCTCTTGTCTGGACAGCATAGGCATGAGGCACTTCCATCATCCTAAAAGTTTTACTGGACTGCTTAGTCTGGATCACTTAGCCATACCTCTCTTAAACAGGAGAACCATCTCTTCTTATCCCCTCCCCACTGTGTGGGGAGATGGGCAGACAGGGGGACTGAGATTTGTGAGTGGTAGCTGGGCAAGAGGGTTTCACCCACCATCAGGTTGGGCAATGGTGGGAATAGTAGTAATCCCCCAGCCCTGCCCCCACCTCAGCTCAGCTCCCCAGGGGGAGAAGGTGGGGCAGAGACAGGAGCATCTACAGGGAAGGAGGAGGCAAGTCCTAGGCCTGCTCACCTGCTCGAAGAGCCCAATGTACAGAACTGGGAGGGTGGTGTACAGCAGGTTGAAGAGAGCCAGGTACCAGCCTTCATACAGAGTCTAGGGAGGAGAAAGGATGGGAGAATGTGGTTAGTGGTAAGTCTTCAGGTGCCAAATGGCCAGAAAAGGAAATGCTCTTTACCAGGGGAGACCCACCCAAGGTAGCTCTGCACCTGGGGAGGATTCCCAGAGTTAGAAAATTGCATTATAATCAAGGGTTGGGTTAAGTTCTGATGGAAGAGAAAAGGCAGAGAGAGAGAGAGAGAGAGAGAGAGAGAGAGAGAGAGGCAAGAATCTAATTCTTTTAAAATAGAATCTTTGAGTGTTTTAATATGTGAGCTGCAAATAAAGAGCTACTGGAGGGAAAATGGCTAAAAAGTGTGGTTTTTCGTCATTTTAGATTTAGGGAGTCATTGATGGATAAAAAAGAGTTGGAAGAGATCCCAGCAAACAATGGGCCCAACTAACTCCCTTCCCAATGCATGAATCCAGTCAAGTTAAAGGATATGGGACGGGGCGTGGAGGGAGGGGTCAGTTTCAAAAACCATTTTTTAAAATATGGACAAAAAGGGGCCATATGCTAACCTGACAAGCTCAGGGAAGGCCTGCGTGGCGGCCTTGCAAACTCAGAGACTGAAAGTAACCAGAAAGGATGGTCTGAAATTAAAACTTTTTAACTAAAAACAGTTTATGGCAAGTACTCATGTCCTAGGTCTGTATCTTACTGACAAAGGTCAATCTTTACCTTAACTGAGCCTATTGTCTTTTTGCATCTATGATAACATATCTTTGGAATGTCAAGGTACTTTTCCTTTTTCCAGACTACTCAAAGCACAGGCACCTACCTCTCTGTGGAGACCACAGATCCCCTCACTGTTGTTGAGTTGTTGACTGAACTATCCTGTACCCATCTATGTGAAAGATGTCTATCATTTTACTTTTCATCCAAATCCCAGAGGTTTCCCAGCTTTGCTTTCTCCCATACCTCCCTAATCTATCGCCAACGGATTTCATGTAACCCACTTGCATCTGCTCTTTTGATTGTAATGTATAAAATAAGGTACAAAACTGCCATTCTCTGGAGCATTATCTCAGTCCACTGAGATTTTGCTTCCTGGCAATTTGGCTCAAATACTCACAAAAATTCTCTGTAGGTTTGAATGTTTCTTACATTGACAAAAAAATTAAAAAAAAAAAAATTTAAATTGATTTTTAGAGAGAGTTAGAGAGAGGAGGGAGAAACAAAACATTGTTTGGCTGCCCTCTGCATGCCCTCCACTGGGAACTGAGCTCGAAACATGGGCATGTTTCCTGACCAGAAATCGAACCAGCAACCTTCTGGTATATGGGACAATGCCCAACTGAGCCACACCAATCAGGACAAAAAAACCATTTTATGTGCATTCTGCGAGTAAGCAAAAGAGGAATGATCAAGAATTGTACAAGAATCAAGTTTCTCCCTGCTGGAAGAGAAGAGTCATAAAGGAGTACCTGGAGAAGGCTAAGCTGAACCTTGTCTTGTGGGATTGGAATCAGAAGTATCAGTGTGAACTCAGTTTCTTAATATACACAACATAGGTAGATGGATAGACATATAGATAAAAATAGAGATGTGTGGGCTAATATGTGTACATTTCCTAACTCTGTCTACTAAGAGGGTAATAGCTCCCCAGTAGCACTGAGCAGACACTGAGCACTTAGCTCTTGGTGTCTAATGTTACCCTTCTCTAATGAAAAGAACCAGGGCTCCTTATGGGAGTGGCTGATTCCAGGGCTGGGGCAAGGAAAGAACAAACTTAGCCTGGAACCTCTTATAGCACTAGAAAATGAAGACACACTTAGGGAAAAATCAGGCCCATGTCGAAAGAACAAACCAGGGAAAATTGGAGCAACAAAATATATAATAAAAAATATCCAGGAGTCCATATTGATAAAAATAAGTAATTTCATAAATAAATGAGGGAGAAGGAATGGTTGGTTCTTCCTACAGAAGAATCCCAGTTAAGAAATGTAGAAAGATGGAATGCTGTCCTCACTAAGATCAGGAACAAAACAAGGATGCCAGCCCTCACCGTCTCACTGGGAGTTCTAGCTAGAGCAGTTAGGTAAGGAAAGGAAATAAAAGGCATCCAAATTGGAAAGAAGGAAAGAGAAAACACTATCTTTATTTGTAGGCGACATGCAGAAAATCCCAAAGGATCCACCAGAAATCTCCTTGAGTCAATAAAGAGAATTTAGCAAACTTGCAGGGCACAATCAACATATAAAAAATCCATCTATTTCTTCTACACACCAGCAAGAAGCAATCCCAAAAGGGAATTAAGAAAACAAATTCCATGCACAGCAGCATCTAAAATAATAAAATATCTAGAGACAAAAAAGTAAAACAATATATATTTATTCAAGGGTGTCCTCTGGTAAAGCTCCCTCTCAAATGCCTGGGTATCAATGACAGGGAACTTATTCCTTATCATGACTGTCTATTTTCAGACAATTTCCTTACACGAGGGGAAATCATCATCCTATAACTCTTCTAAGGCTCTAGGAAGCACATTTATTCTTCACCATGATACTGTCGAGAGTGTCTTGAAGTCAGGTACCCAGCCCCCACAGTCTCTTCTTCTCTGGGGTTCAAGCTTTCCCTCTTTCCCCTAGGAGATCTACCCTTTGGAGCATCTGCTGCCCTGCCCTGGCTTCAGAGCTCAAATTTAGTCAAATATTCCTGAAAATTTTGGGTACAGAGCTGATTGAGCAGGAACCACCCCCTCCCTTTATCTGGACTTTATACCTCTATGAATGCAGCCATGGAAATGGTTGTATGGCCCTGCCCCATGAGGATCCCAGAGTGTGAGTAGGCAGTGCCTATCACCCTTCTGGAGGCCATGAGAAGGGCACAGTATCCCCATCCAGAGATTCCCCAAAGGGTTGTTCCCTCCTGTGCACCTGGGCAGTGAAGCCACTATAGAAAGCGAACCAGATCTGAACCATCATCATAGTCAGCGTCTTGTAGATGAAGTAACGTAGGAACTTGCACACTCGCATGTAGGACCAGCGCCCGTGCACCAGCAGCAACCGCCTCAAGAAGCGGAATTGGGCCAGCATGTAGTCGCTGTTCTGCACCGCCTGCATGCCCTCCTGGCCTGCTAGCCCTACGCCGATGTCCGCAGCTGCAGGGGCAAATGCAGTGTGTTGGTCCTGGGCCACCCCCAGCCCACCACAGGCCTTCCCACCCAGACCTGGTGCCCACCACCCACTCTTGATCATATTGACGTCGTTGGCGCCGTCCCCAATGGCCAGGGTCACCACATTTTGGTATTTTTTGACCAGCGCCACAATCAAGGCCTTTTGCTTGGGCGTCACCCGGCAGCAGATGACTGCTTGGCACCTAGAGGCCAGCTCCACGAAGGCCCGCTCCCGCCACGCCTCAGGACTCTCTTGGGTGTTGGGGTCCTTATTCTGCCATACCAGCCCTGTTTTGCTCCTTATCAGCTGATCCTGGCCAGCAAGGGAGGGTGGGAGGAAGGGGACACATCAGTCTGCTTGTACCCCTCCCCTTTATGAACATCCCCCAACTGGACTCTCCTCCCTCCTGGCCTCCTGCCCCAAACCCCAGGCTGGACTTGACCACATGGGTTCCAGTCCCTCTGAGAACCATCTCACAGCGTGGCTTTCGCTTTGGCTTTTCCAACAGTCCATTCCCACCCCCAGTCTGCTGCTCCTCTCAGCCCCCTCCCCTGTGCCAGGGACCCCACAGTCAGGCCTGGGCTGACACTGACCAGAAACTCTCCACTAACGATCATGGCGGCCGTCTTGACCTGTGGCAGGTTGCTGCTGTTGCTCTCCAGGTAGGTTTCCAGGATCTGACTGCAGGGACCCATTTGGGGCTCAGCCATGTCCAGGCACAAGCTTCCTTAATCCCCTACTCCAAGCTGTGCCTCATTTTCCCTCTCTGGTAGTCTAGTCAGGTGGAGGCTGAGGACACTCTGCTGACCCCCAGGGCCACACTCCAGGGCCACACCTGGGTGTTCACCATCCCCCACCCTCACCCTGTTCCCTGCCCCCACCCAGTTCATCTGCTACCAACCCCCAACTCCTTACGTTATCTTCTCCTCCTCTAGAATGCCCATGTCCTCAGACAGCAGCTGGCAGGCATAGCCAATGTTCACTGCGGTCTCTGCAAACCAGCCCAGCTCAGCCCCCTGCCTGGGGGCCATGCCCACCCACCCTG